TTCTTGCCTTTTCTTGAGAATCAAACATAACTTAGTAGCAACAACCTTCTTTCACACCCCTCACAAAGAGAAAATAAAATAATAAAATTTAGATAAAGATATGATTTGTTAATCTATATATCTATCAAAAACATATATATCTAAATCTTTATTTTGATTTACTCATTTTTTTTCTCCTATCACATATTATCTTTTTTTATTTAAAATTTTTTATCTTATGAAATGCTCTTATCTATAATTTCTTATCTTCTATTAAATTCGTAAGTTTCTCTTGATAATTTTTATTATTCGTTATTATCTATCAAATGATAAAGATTATATATAATAAAAAAAATATCGCTCTGAATGAGAATAGTATTAATAATGAAATAAAAAGAAAAAAGTGGAATATAAATATATTTTATTCATATTTTATTTATTTTTTTCCTTTTTATTTTTAATTTTTTTTCTAAATTTTTCTACCAACACAGTATTAATTATCTTGTTAAGATTTTAATAGTAGTGCAATACGTTGACAGATTCTTCATCCATGTGCTGGAAATTCAGCCACATCGCTGGTCAGCCCTTTAAGTGGAATGACATTGTATTATTTTATCTAACACTCCGTTTGTCTCAATAAAAACTAGTGATCACTCGTGCGATGCACAAGGTTGTAAAAAGTTAATAATCACTAAAAAAAAGTTTGCTATTTGATTGTATTTCTTAATATTTTATTTAGTTTGTATATGTAAATCTTATTTCACATCATTTAAAAATATTTAATATTTCACATTATTGAAAATTTTAAAAAAGTATTATACATTAGTAAATCATCACATATATAATAGTTAATTTATCTAAGAATTACTTCAGACAATCAAAAGTAGAGTAACAAAGGCATATTATAATTAATCAAAATGACTAATATATTAAATAAAAGTAAAATTAATTTTGTTTAATCAATAGTAGATATTACATTAATCATCTCATATAATATAATAAATTAAAATAAAATTAATTTTAATTCTCATTATATGGTTAAATTTTTTTTACATGCTATTTGTTTTTTATTTATATTGATTCATTAAACACAAATAAGTTTGGAATGATTAAAAAAAAAAAAAGTTTGGAAATGCATTAAACTTGAATTGACAAACATAAAAAATACAAATATTTAAATTATTCAAAAAAATAAGCATTTTTAATATGAGATATATTTCATTTGCTCAAAAATCTTAAATTAAAAAAAAAAAATTGAGAAATTTGTGGTTTACTTCTTAAAGGAAATGAGTTCCTAAAAATAAATTTAATCATGAGTTATTTCAACAGGATAATCAACAATAAAAAATTAATTGATGAATACATTTAAAGTATAAGCTCATATCCAATAAATTTTGATGTGTTCTTCATTTTCAATCTAATATCTGCACCAAAAAAAATTAAACACAAATAATTAATAAGTGAGAGAGTTACAAATTGATAATAGTAGCACTTTTATAAAAAATTTTAAAAAAAATTTCAATTAAATGATACATTATTAACAAAAAGAAAGAAATAAGGAAAAATACAAATTGTAGCCAAAAAAAATTTAAAAATAAAATAATAATATCTTTTTATATAAACTCACTTTCTCACAAATGCAAAAACTCATGCAAGTACACATTTCAAATGTAAAGCAAATATTTAAGATTTTTAGACACTGAAAAGGGATTAGAAATAGCTCAATGTTGATTTTTTCCCCTAATCTTCTATTCATGGTTTCTTTTGCATGAACTTGTTTTTATATTGAAAAGATTATGTTTAAACAAAAGATATATATAGAATTTTATCATGTTTAAAATTTTTATGAATAATTAATTGATGATTTTAAAAAATAAAATATTAAATTCAAGTTGAAGATAAACTTTAAAAAGATTAAACTAAAATATATAGAATTCTATAACAAACTAACAAAAGATAAATATAGATCTTTAAAAAAATTATTATCTTTTTGGGATATTTATATTCCAATCTCAATCTTTTCTCTTTTTTTTTTTTATTTATTTAAATATTTTGTTATATTTTATTTAAATTTTCATTTTGTAGTTCAAATTTAAATAATTATATTTTTGTTTTTGTATATTCTTTCATTACTATTTTTTTTGTTGCTCATATATAAATAATTACCTTTTTATTTTAAAAATTATTTGACTCGTACTTGCATTAAAATGAGTCATTTAGTCATTCTTGGTTTTTATCTTTTGATCATAAATTCAAGTCAAAATTCTCTTCTTGGTTTCTGAGATGGTGGTCTCAACATGGTGTCTGCCCAGAACTCCTCCCTTCTATTCTCTTGGATCAAGTTAACTATTTTTCTTCAGTTTACCCAATCAGTCAACATAAACGTCAATTTCCTATATTGCTTCTTTTTATGTCTAAAAACAAATTCTCTTGGATATTTAAATGGAAATATAGTACTTCTGATAACAAAGTCATTTGACAACATTTTGTCAAATGGTGGGATGTATTCAAACACCATCGTATTATTGAACAAGTCAAACAAGAATTCCCAGTCAACATTCATGTTCCTATAGTCCCAAAGGTTAAATCTTCACAGTAGAACCCAACTGCTCTAAGAAAGCTCACTTCCTCTTACAACAGTCAAACTTAGAAGCCCAACAGCCAGCTCTAGGCTTTCCAAACACAAATCATCCAAGTCCAAGCCCAAGTCAACTACCAGTGATGAACTTATTCAAATGAAAAAGTTATTGATGGCCCAAGTAAAGTCACAAATAGAAGATGAAGCCTCAGATGAATCAGCTTCTTCTGAAGCCTCAACTAGTCATGATCTATATGGTCCAATTCCAAGATGCTCAAGACCCATATGCATAATTCAGTTGTTGCATATATATATATATATATATATAAGCTTCAATCAATACTCTTCTCCAGAGATTTCCTGCTTATATATATATATATATATATATATATATATGTATGTATATGTATAATATAGTATAGATAGCGTTGTTTGGAAAGGAGATTTTTTGTTTTTTTCACTAAAAGACAAATTGGTTACAAAATCAAAAAAACAAATCTAAATAAAATATCACATCAAACCTCATAATCATTTCATTTTTTCTCTTACAAATATCACATCCAATCACAAAAAAATCCAACTATCTTTCCAAACACAAAAAAAATATTCTCAAATAATATCCTACAACTAAAAAAATCTACAAAAAAACTCATTTCCCAAACACCTACATAGATAGATAGATATTAAATATATATATATATATATATAATGTAATATAATATTTTTTATTTAAACTACAAAATATTATATTTATTATTCATTTTCACTCATTTCTTTTACATCTTGCGGTTTTTTTACTTTAATTAATTATATATCATCTATAATATATTATATAATTTATAATTTTTATTAGTAATAATTTTATTTTAATTTACTCCCGTCACCAATTCAATATATCAATGCATTTCGACCTCGATAAGGCATGAGAAGACATTAGGGTCGTAAATTAGGTCCGACCTGGCCCATATCAGGCTGTATGGGCTCATGCCAAAATTCGGGCCGAGTTGGCTCAGGTCACGAGTCAGAAAATTAGATCCAAACTCAACCCCAAGTCCAGACCTAAGGGATATTCGGGCCTTGGACGGACCGGTAGGTAAGGCCTCGACTCGAAGCTTAGGAGGCCTTAACATTTTTTTTTCCTATCAAAATATTTACTAAAAACAACACCGAATTTTAGATAGACTAGTATCAGATCGGCCCTTGAAGGGGCAAGGTTTTAAAATGATGGTCCAAATTCAAGCTTAAGATTTCGATTTGGGCTCAGACTCGAATTTAATCGGGTGTAAATAGACTAGCCTATCTCAAATTGCAAGAATTTCAAACTGCCCTCGAGTTGGAGGCCATTTTTAGAAGTGGCCATCCCTAGTGTCATCAAAATAAAAGGCTCGGGATTGGCCTCATTCATTTCAACGGCTGAGATTGAATCTGATAGATCATTCATCTCGTCACACACACAGCCCAAGCAAATAAAAAATCAACCTGAGCTGTTACAAAACCCTATTAATGCATATGGAAACAGATTCTCTCCATCCACCGTGTAGACTGAATCGTACTGTTCAGGTTCATGCCGCTCATTATAAATTTTATTTCGATAATTTAAGTTATTGAATATAAATGTTCTTTAAATATTTTATTCATATAAAAAGTTATATTAATTAGATATCGATAATTACTTGATCGGATTAAATTTTTATTAATAATTTATTTTTAAAATTAAATATTACTGTTAATAAAAATATAATTTAATTAAGTAATTATTGATATCTAATTAATATAATTTATTACAGAATAAAATAATTTTACATATTATACTGTTTAAATTATCGAAACAAAACGAAGTGAGCCCACAAGCCCAGCAGCGTGCTTCAGTCTGATCTCGGACTGGCGAGTGTATAGATACATACATACAGGGACAGATAGAGAAAGTGGGGTTTATATCTGTGTATCGGTTTCACTTCTTTTCAAACAAACGTTCGTGTTAGGGTTTCGATCCAGAGAGGTTAGAGAGAGAGAGAGAGTGATGGCGGATCACGAAGAGTCGAAGGTGGAATCGATGATGGACAAGATAACCGAAAAGCTTCACGGCGACTCATCGTCGTCCTCATCGTCAGACTCAGACGACGACAAGAAATCGTCTCCGTCTACGTCGCCGTTGAAGTCGAAGGTTTACCGGCTCTTCGGAAGAGAGAAGCCTCTCCATAAGGTCCTCGGCGGCGGAAAACGTAAATTCATTTCTCCTTTTTTTTGTGGATTTAATTTAGTTTCGTAAATAGAATGAAAAATTAGGGCATGAATATGTGCTAAACCCTAGCAATTTGATTTTCGTTCATCGGAAATTTCTCTCATAAATAGTTATCTCTATATTCCTGTACTTAATGGATCTAGGATTGTCAAATTAGTGGCTTGATTTCAATTAAACCCTAATTGTTGATTGTATGTTATGAAATGTCTGAACATTTTCTGTTTTTGTGTGGATGTATGAGTGGATCTAGATCTGTTTTTTTTTATAGATCGGAGGCGTAAATTGGTTAATTGTTATTTTAGGAGTTGAAAGTAAATTATTATTTATGATTGTTAGTGGTTTTGATGGGATTGGTTCTGCAAAAGTTCTACGTTTTTGCTTGATAAAATTGTTGTAGTTCCACACCTTTTTCTAAAGTTGAGACTAGTTGAGTATAATAAGAGATATCACCGTAGATAATGGAAATATGTATCAATCAAAAAGTTGAGACTAGTTGAGTATAATAAGAGATATCACCGTAGATAATGGAAATATGTATCAATCAAAAAGATATCACCGTATAATAAGAGAATTGTTGTAGTTCTACGTTTTTACCAGGATTTTAAAGTTTCTAAATCCATTAAGAATGAACTCTTTCTTTCTCTTTAAAATTTGCGCACACCGTTTTGATGTTTTGGTGCAGCTGCTGATGTGTTTCTGTGGAGGAACAAGAAGATATCTGCTGGAGCCCTGGGTGTGGCCACCGCTATCTGGGTTCTGTTTGAGTTGCTTGAATACCATTTGCTCACTTTAGTTTGCCATGCCTTGATACTAGCGCTGGCTGTATTGTTCTTGTGGTCTAATGCTAGCACCTTCATCAACAAGTAAGATTTCCAAAATAGGCATATAATCTTTCTTTCCCTTGTGTAAATCTATTGGAAACTTAACTGGGTTTGTTCCGTTTTCAGGTCAACTCCCCATATTCCTGAAGTTCACATTCCTAAGGAGCCAGTTCTGGAGTTTGCCTCTGCCCTCAGGATTGAAATCAATCAGGCTTTTGCAGTTCTAAGGGAAATTGCTGCGGGAAAAGACCTCAAAATGTTTCTATCTGTATGTTGATTTCTTTCTTCTACTTGATTTAGAGTTGTGATTTTGCAGTCAACTAACATATTTAGTATGTTGATCTATTAGTATGGGAGAGATGTTCGAGTTTGCAAATTCTGGATTTTTCACTTTAAATTTGTAATCTATATTGCATGCAGTTTTCAAATTTATTTTAGGTTGACCATTTTGATGGGGGGTATGGTTCTGTTATTTATTAGGTGATTGCTGGCTTATGGGTCTTATCCCTTGTTGGGAGCTACTGCAACTTCTTGACTTTGTTTTACATTGGTAATCAATCACTACAATTTTAGTTGACATATTTACTTGGTTATTCATATTTGGTAGTTTTTAACATAAAAAACTCATGATTTTGGTGACAGCATTTGTTGTGCTCCACACCGTGCCTGTGATGTACGAAAAATATGAGGATCAGGTGGATGCCTTCGCTGAGAAGGCAATGATTGAGATCAAGAAGCAGTATGCAGTCTTTGATGCCAAGGTTTTGAGTAAGATCCCAAGAGGGCCATTGAAAGGCAAGAAGAATGCTTAAGAGCTTAGGGTGGCCCCAGGGTAGTTTGGTAGTTGTGTTTTGTCAAGGTGTTGTGAATTTTTATCCATTATTGGCTCAAAACCTGTTTTTAAAATCTGTCTTTTTAGGGTTTTGGGTTCAAAATTATGGATGAACATGGATAGTTTTATGTACTTGCATTTGCTAGGATTGTGGGCAGCATTTTCTAATTTTCTGTTTATTTCCTGCTTTGAGTGAGATCTGGTGCTGAAGTTACTATATTATATCTTATGTCAGTTAGTGCATTGCACATTCGGTTTTAACAATGATTTTGGTTCCTTCGATGTTTTAGATATGAATTTTTTTTATTTGCTTTAAAGATCTTGCAAGACATTCAATGAATTTTACATGGTGGATGTTAATTGTTTGTTAGTAGTTATTATTTCTAAGAGTTACACTTTGGAAGTTGGGATTCAGTGGTACAAATCATATCAGCTTGGAAATTTTAATCTATAATTAGTGTAGGATTCACTATCCAATTGGATTAATATCCATTGGATTAATAATCTCACCCCTACCCCATTACTAATAATCCTACAAATTTGTTGGATAATTAATCCTAAACCAAAATGTTAAAACAAACATGAGATAATTGGACCCACGGATTAATAATCCTAATTCCATGCTCTAATCCACCCAATCAAACATGCCCTAACAGTACACAATAAAATTCCCTACTAGGTGCAAAAAAAAATTTCCTCGCTTTTCTCTTTGGTGTGGGGTCCTGTAATTCCATCTTATGCCATTCAGGTTGTTTTATAATGGTGAGTTTTGTCTAATGTGATGGATCTACTGCTAGACGAGCATAGATCTTCTGGAGTGATTTTTTCTAGACGGGGTGTTTGAGATGAAGTTTTTTTTAGGTTTTTTTTTGGCTAAAATAGCATTGAAGACGAAATAGATTAAAGTAGTCAATAAGATAAAATATCACATTATATTCATAATTATTTCACTTTTTTTCTCACAAATGTCATATCTAACTATAAAAAAATTTAATTATCTTTTCAAAAATAAAAATTTTAGTCTCTTAAAATAATTAGAAATTAAAATAGCCTATTAAAATAGTAACTTTCCCAACGCGCACATGTGGTTGAGATTTAGTTTTGAGCCATACAATATATCCCTCTAAGGCCTTGTTTGGGAATAAGTTTTTTAGTAATTTTTTGATTTTTTGGTTAAAATATGATGTAAAAAATTTAGTATGTTTGGGATAATTTTTTGATTTTTTAAAAAAAGATGTGCAAAAAATAAAGAGAAATCTTTAATTTTTTAGTATATGTTATTGATTTTTTGATTTTTTAATGATTTTTTGACTTTTAAGTTAGAAAGTAATATTGCCTACTTTTACTTTGGAAAAAACGATTCTATAGGATTGGTGCTATCTTTGGACCGCGGTTGAGAGCGACAGGGTTCGCGAAGGGTTCAAAAATCCTGTGGTGGTTGTGGCTCTATGGTGCTTTGGTGGATTTTTTTTTAAGTCTTTAACTGTACATATTATAAGATTCGTTGAATATATCATATATATAAAAAATTAAATTAATCAGAAATTTGCAACCTTATAATTAGATTCAAATTGTTTTACAAACATTATGAAAATAATGTTAAATGTTTATTTTTTGAAAAACAAAAGTATTCTTGTTTTAAAGGTTATATATTTTCAATCAATTTGATTTTTTACATGAATGACCTATTCAACGAATTTTATAATATGAACGGTTTGGATCATCAAAAAAGACTCATAAAAAGCCTCCACCGAGGCACCACAGATTGCTGCTGTGAACCCCTTGGTCCGGGAATGGGTAGCTCTAACATATGTGAAAGCATAGCACATTGAATGCAAGATAAATTTCCAGTGGACTGAAATGATCAGAGGAGATATTACACAAATCAACCACATGTCGGTAGAGGAACACACTGACGGGGACAGAAATATCTAGGAAACTTTCAATACAAGAAAGGAGAATAGGAAAAGAACTCGAACCCAAACTTTACGGCTAGTAAGGAAGCAGTTCAACCACTATGCTTTGTCTTTTCCTCACGGCTTTAGAACAATAATGCTTATTCTTCTAATGAATTCTGAAGACAATGGAACATACAGATGACACTCGACATTGACAAACTAGGTGACCTTGGTCTATTTGGTTTTACAACACAACAACATGGTTTGAAGATCAGTAAGACATCTCCCCAATAACGTAGTATAGTAATATGTTATACAGTTCTCAACTCCTAGTTTTACTACTAAGAAGCCTACTGTTTTGACGTTTTCCATCGACTTGAGACCTTTAGTTCACGGCAAAAACAAAAACAAAAACACAAACAAAAACAAAAACGATAAAGCAATCTCCTCTTTTTCTCTCCTTTTCATTCTCTCTCTTTTCTTCATTTTTCTTCCCCTCTAATAGTTTGTAAAAATAGAGGGGGCAAGTGCCAATTGTGTTGATTGCTTTCAATACTGTCATAGGAACTGTTCCTATAGGAAGTAAGTTAACTGTTCCTTCTTCCTTGAGCCACCTTCTCCATACAAATCATTCCATTGTTTCAGTTCATTCATTACAGATCCCTCAGATGCAAAGCTTGCAGCAACCTGCAACACAATTCAGGCAATGTATTGTGCATCAGCAAAAGCAAGAACAAAAAAATTCTCCTAACTCTCAGTATAACAACCGTGGGAATACAAGTTTATGACACCTCCATCCAAGATAAGGTTGGTTCCTTAATAAGTCTGGAAAAAAACTATATTAAAAAATCGAAAAATTGGAATCCAGAATAAAAACAATTCAAGAATGCTCCAATAGAAAACCAAACATGTCGACCAATGGCAGAGTCAGGATTTTGGCTTAGAATGCAACATTGAGTTGAAACCTTAGCACGATTTATTACAATCTAACTAGACCAAATTTTCATTTAGTTGCAGGAGAATTCAAGATTAGCGTGAATCCAAAATTGTGTGGTAATGGTCGAGGATTTTTTTGGTTTTTAAATTTTTTATTATTAATTTGATTTTCTATTTCGTTTTTGAGCAAGATAATCATCAAAATTTAAAATGCAATTAGATGCCACCATAAAAGATGAGTATGGAATTACATCAAAATGCAGACACAGAAAAAGAAATAGAGAGGGGTAAAGAAGTGAGAGAGAAGAGAAAGAAATAATATAAAATTTATAAGAATTTTTTTTAGCAAAATGGAAATTTAAAGTGATGGGACTTAAGGCTTGGCTTGGTTTGGTTTGGTTTGGAAATTTAAAGTGGCAAATTGAAGAAATTTTGTTGAAAAGAGAAAAGGCAAGATAAGAGGACATAAAGATTTAAGAGGCGTAATTGAAAATTCACCACTAGAACAAATAAGACTGAAAGGATGTCTATAAATAAATTTTGAAAATGAGAAGCAACTGCTGGAAGAAGAAACTCACCACTCATGTTTTATGAAAAAGGTTCATCAAGAAAAACAGAAAGTGAGCAATTTACCTGATATTTTGCTTCCCTAAAGTCTTCAATGTTCAATGACCTGATTGTGATTACTCTTTCTTCTTTATCATCTTCTGTGCCTGCAGCATCTTTCAAATTCTGTCCTTCCTCAGCTCTCTTCTTTCTCTCCTGTTAACAGATCGTTAATCACTTGAGCGAAAAACCAAATGGACAGGAAAATAAAGGCAGAGAGTGAAACTGATTAAAGATGATATCCTTACTAGATCCTTTAGCCTCTCCTGTCGAATTAATTCCCTAACAGGCCTGTAAGCAGCTGTTGTGCAAAAATTCTGTTCATAACAACAGTGTCCTGGTCAAAATCGGCTTAGCACGGATCTAAACAGCAATAATGACATAATCGAAAACATATAACCTTCAGATCACTTCCACTATATCCTTCTGTCAGATTTGCTAGCTCCTTAATATCTAGTGCTTCATCAACTTTTTCTTTTGCCAAAAGGGTTCTCAAAATCTTCTCTCTATTGTCGGGAGATGGTAGGCCAACCATGATTCTGTTGATCAAAACGAGCATCAACACAAATAAACAAAAAGGGAAATTAGATCTATTTTGATTTCTATTCCTTGGTTACTTGGGAAATAACTCAAGAGTTTGATGATATCTTCCATATCCAATAGATGCAACCACAATTCCAAGTGTACCTACGTTTGTTTAAGAAAAATTCAAGTTATGAACAAAGCACCTTCTCTCAAAACGTCTAATAATTGCTTCATCAAGATCAAATGGCCTATTAGTTGCGGCAAGAACAAGAATCTTTTCACCCTGTTTTGTCAAGAGTCCATCCCAATGAGTCATGAACTCGTTCTTTATCTTTCGCATAGCTTCATGCTCTCCTGCTCTTGAACGTTGCCCAAGCATGCTATCGACCTCATCCACGAAAATAATAGTGGGGGATACCTTAGCTGCAAGAGTAAACAGGGCTCGAACATTCTTCTCATCTTCACCAAACCATTTTGAAGTGATAGTAGACATAGACACGTTAATGAAACTTGCTCCGGCCTCGTTGGCAATGGCCTTTGCCAACATTGTCTTCCCAGTGCCAGGAGGCCCAAATAGCAATATTCCTCTGCATGGCTTTAAAAGGCCTCCCTTGAATAGGTCTGGTCTTCGAAGAGGTAGCATCACTAGTTCTTGGAGAGATTCCTTAATATCATCCAAAGCACCAATATCTTTGAATGTCACACCGATCTCACTAGCTGGTATGACTTCTGGCCTTATGCGCTTCTCAAATTCATTGTCAGGAGGAATCTCCTGGTATAACCAAACACCACGATGAGAAAAGAAGGGAACAGGAGAAGAATAAACACTACAGAGACGGATGGTCATCATAAACTTCATGTTAAGTTTACAAAACTAAAAAAAATCGATCTACATGTCTATATATTATATTCCTGAAAGAATGCCAGTGATTCTTCAGTTGATTAATTAAATACTCAAAAAGTATACGCAATTTTAACATGGAATGCAGAGGTGCAGGTGCAGGCATATATACATAGCCACTTGTAGAACCAATGGTAGAGAATAAGTAAATCCTAACAAAGAAATCTAAGAAATGAAATAATAAATCTAACTCACCAGAGCTTTCGATGCTGGCGCTGAGTTGCCAGCATCCTTCACTGTTGAAGCTGATGTCTCTGTTAAAGCTGATGCCTCAGGGACTGTGCTTCCGACTTTTGTTTCTGGCTTCACAGCAACAGCCTCATCCCTTGGTGCATCCTAGGACAACAAAAAGAGGACATCAAGAAAATACTCTTCACATTCCATACTATCAGATTATTGAAAAAACATATACACAACCATAGAAGGTTCAGTCTGCACTTCCAGCTTTAAAGTATCCTTGCCAGAAGACTTGCCTTCCTGGAATATGCTCAAACCATGGGACAAACTGTTCCATGACCAACAAAGTAAGTTAACAAGGCTTGAATGGTAAGGAAACCGCCAATATATATACTAATCTAACCTTGAGGATGAAATAACTAGCTTTCCGTGTCTGTATTCAGGATCCTTGTTATTCATCAAATGATAAGAGACTGCAGATACTACAATTTCTTCTATATAGTTACCAAGAACCATCGTGTCTGCTGCACAGATTGAACCCAGATCATCACAGTCAAGGTCATTAGCTGCAAGTACTTCAATAATGTGGTTTTTGTTATCCTGATATTGGATCATCTTCATATCCTCCTCAAGTTGAGACTTCCAGCTGACAAGATGTGTTTCGTCTTCGGGTTCCCTGATTTCAATATTGTAAGGGAACAGAGCAGTAAGCCTCTCATCCACTTGTCCATAGTCGTTCCCATGCACAACTCGTGAACCAAGGATCAGCACTGGTCCTGACAGTTTGTTCAACATTTTTTGAAACAAGTTATATATCCTTTGTGACCTAAAGAGGAGCTTCTCAATATCCCTAAGATAGAGCACAATGGGATTGGTTTTTGATATTGAAAACAGGACCTGTCAATGAAATCAAAAATCGTGTCAGCCATGTCAGACCATCAATAACACAGAAATCATGCCACATAATCAGCTAAACATCTATATAAAGTCAAAATACATTTAAACGGAAAAAGCATATAGCCCCTAATCCGCCAAAAACCATGGGATTGATTTGTCTGGCAGACAATACCTTGTAAAGTGTCTGTACAAGAAGCTTCTCATCAAAAGAGCTGCTTGTGCGCTTGAGAGGAACTACAAATCAGAAATATTAGTAAGAATTAGATACTGCAAGAGCTGGGTTGTTAGATGATTTCAGGCAATATGCTCCTACATGCACTGCTTCATCAGCCCGAAGTCCATTATTGATTAAACTGTTAAAATATGACTGAGACACTTGAATTACTTCATACTGCATAAGATATGGTTATTAAATATTTTTTCTGAACTGAATCACCAACTACAAAGTCCTGTTACCAACTCAATGATAAAATGTTGAAGTTCTCACTTTCAACAAAAAGAACACGTCGCTTCCTCTTATGCCAGAGGTTTCCTTCATAGGTTTTTTGCATATAGGAGGATTCTACCACAACTAGTCCAATAAACTTTTTAGCTGGTAGAAGGGTACATTAAGTTTTATTAGGAGTCCAGATGGCTCTCCAATAATAGTTCATTCCTAATTTGTTGGACATAAAAAATAAAAATAAAAAACTAGTAGCTTTCTTAGAGATAAAAGATAATTTTTGAGTATTTCTATTTGGGTCAATTTGGAGACAAAGATGTGTAGATCAATGTGGCATGATTCTGATACTTTTTTAGGTGAACCTAAAATAATCAGAAGGGCCGAATAAGAATAATGCTACTTTCCTCCTCCACCCATGTGAATTATGTGGGATATTTCAATTACAACATATTTAAAAAAAAATATTCGATTAGATCTGTTACACCAATAAGTAGCTAAAATATTTTATTCATGCTTAACACTAAATAGGACTACTATAAATCGTATACTCTTTGAAAATAAAATACTCCAAAAGAACCTGGATTTGCGGAAGAGGATTGGGAAGCAAGGTTATTCATATTAGCTGCAGCAGAAGCATTTCGACGAAGCTTTGAAGGATTGGAAGAACATTCTGTTCCCCTGCAAATGAAAGCAGAAGACAAAATAGAAGGAATATTAAACAACCAAACAGGTGATGACCACATTTGCATCTTTTTCTACATACAAGCCATACCTTGATCCAACTTCTTCCCCACTGCTTTGCCTACGCAATGTGCCTGTAACTAAAGAAGAGCCCACTTCAATGATGTCAACAATGCATTATATGAAACCACTGACACAATAAACAAGAAAATCAATTTTCCTTAAAAATCCATTGCAGTTTTGGGCAGAACTAGACTTCTCCCTCCTAGAATCTAAAGTCACCAGAACATATCCTGTAAGGCAGGAAGAAAGCACAAATAACTTTTTTTAAAAAGAACTACTAAATTTATGTCAAATGGTTTGCTAACAGACATACAAACAACTCTGAATAAAGTCATTGATTCGGAATATCAATTACTTTAAAATACAGGAAAACATTACAGCATCTCTACTATCTTAATTTAATAACATATTAAAAAACGATTCTAAATAGTATTGAAGCGTACCATGTACCAAGAATAAATCTAATGAACTTATAGTGTTATTCAATTGTAACAAATGCCGATCATTTTTGCTAAATGGCATAGAAAGAACATGAATACTGCATGCTCACATCCTTGTCATGTATAAAGTGGTCATTAGAATGTGGGACGCATGCTACAAATACAAAATGATCATCATTACCAAAAATAAGGGCAAGTATTATTCTACCTTTTTTTCCCTCCTTTGGTTGAAGAATTGAAAACGATCCAAACAAACCAGACATTCGCTCTAATGCCGTCTCTGAAATGGATCTTTTGAACATCTGTAAAGCAAGATGGGAAGTTAGCAAAGGAAACGAACTCACTCTCCAGTAGACTTGTGTGTGTCTAACACTGCAATGAGTGCAAAAACAGAAAATACAGAAACAAAATCACACACGATGTAACTCTAATCCAAATTACTATCCTTATAATCAAGCCCAGCAGACTCAGTTGCAAGATATCAATTGCAGCACAAAAAGCTGCATGCTCAGAATAAATTGGGATAACTCACAGCTTCTTTGTTGGCACTCCCATATTTGTTCTGGATCTGTAAAAAACCAACAACCCAATGTTAGTATCAGAAGCAGAGACCAAAGAAAAACCCGCAGCCTTGAGCACCCACCTTTAGTAAAAAGTCAGTTACATCCAACAGCAGCAACTTGGCTTCAAAGTAATGAGCTAAAGCCTTTGCAAGCATTTGCTGGTAAAGTTCTTCAAAATGGGAAACATAGTAATTGAGCTTGATGAAGACACAACGTACAACAACGTAAATACACTCAAGCTAGATCAAACAGACTACATATTTCAAATAACCAACCAGCAGGTCCTGAAAGCAAAATAGAACGACTCGCAGGAGGAAGGTTCCGTGTGTGCTTAGAAAAGTCAGATTTCTTCAAATGGACAAAGGCAGCACTTGTCAATAACATCCTTGTCTTCTCACTGTCATTATGATAAAAAAAACAAGGATGTAATTTTGAGGTAACATAAGAAGAGCAATTCCAGGAAAATATATATATAAAAATTCATTATTGTGATGTACGATAGTGAGATTATCTCCGATACAGCAATTCCTCAGTAACTTTATTTAAACACTGGTGCACTTTATACTGATATCTTGATGCTCGATCATGACTTTGAAACAATAGTGTAATTTCAACCATCACTTAAACGGTTACAAGTTACAACTCAAATTTACTCGACAAAGGACTAAGAAAAAGAGTATATGCAATGCTTATGTGTTAAAACCTATCACCTACTTCACCCACTTAAACCTACTCTACTAAACCTAACCCACTACACCACTACCACCTCACCTACTCCACTAAACCTAACCCACTACACCACTACCACCTCCACTTCACCTACTCCTTACCTACTACACACTCACCCTCTTCTATATATAGGAATCATGAATCATTGTAATAAATATAACATTATATCAATCAATAATACAATTCTCTATTTCTCTTTATACATTAAATTTCTACATTATGTTAACTTGTATATTTGTTTTTGCGTATTTATACCTAAATAATCAATTTCTACAAGTGGCAGCTTTAAGTAAATGGTACGTGAGATGGAACAAATCAACAAATTGATTGCGGATACCACTCACTCGGATTATCAGTTTAGATTGACCAATTTAAGTGGACATTAAAAAATGTACAATTAAGGATTGCAACTGATCTCACAATTTTAGTGATATAAAAAGTATGTATATTTTCTTTCCCTTTATGATAATTAAACATCTATGCCTCAAAAAACTACAAATATTTAAAGAGAATGGCACAATATAGTAACTTCATTAGCAATGATAGACCTCCTTTGAAGAAGGCTTGCTTAAGATTTATATAAAAAATAAAAATAAAAACTGTCCTACATCCCTTACAGGTTCATCTTCTTACTTAGACAAGGAAATGTAAAATGAAAAAGCACTTCTATCTCCAACCACACCGAAGTTTCTTGTAGGAAAACAAAGGAAGAACCTATTCAACAAACTTAGATATTTTTTAATCATAAACTTGTTCAAGTCAGCTGCATATGGTTTTCAAAAAGAACATAAAAAGTTCAAGGCCAGCCTAAAACCTTGCCAATAATGTTTAATGTTACCCCTTACTTTCATTGAATTTATTTTCCATCATGTTAATGAATTAGGCAAATCCAAAAGCTCCTGAAAAAACACCCTAAGGCTGCTCCCATCTAACTGTTATAAGCCTATGCCAATTCTGTCATAGATTCTATGTATTAGAAGATAAGTTCCAAAATCTCTACTGTGAACCGAACTTAAAACTTAGGGACCCACCCATTTGCTCAAATACACTTATTAACCTTAAGTTGACCTTATCAACGGTGGTGCCAACAATAATTCTAAAATATACATCGACACTATGAGTAACAATTCATGGTGAATATTGCATCGATAAGACTTTATTTTTCCCAGAAGACATGTTCATTGCAACTCTATATTTATAATCATGTTATATGCTTTGGAGGACATAATTTTACAAGGAATGAAATGTTTATTCATGCTGCCATTTTACCATACCATGATAAATTTAACCATCAAGATCATTGTTTCATGGTTCAATAAGTTCAGTACTGGAAATAGAACCTGTTGGCCTGATATTAAGGATGCTTACAATTTTCAACCAAGCCATTAAAATAAATAACAGAATTTGAGACCTCACAAAATGATATGACCTCAAATTAACAGATAATGAAATATAGAAACCGAACAATGCCCTCCTAGTGACAAGTACTAAATTAGGAATGTGAAACAAATATCTCCATTAAAATATAGGTAGAATAGAAGACAATGGTGAATCAGAAGTAGGTGAGAAAACCAAGTTCGTAACCCAAAAACATGCACATGAAAGATAGAGAATTCCAAGTGTGATATAAGCATGCCCCTAAAATATCTCCAATATTATATGATGCTAATCATCCAGTCTCTGAAAAACATAAAAATAAATAAATCACAATATAAAGCTGGATAGAAAACAATCACAGATATGGTGGGCACTTAACCGTACATGGAAAAACACCCACTTTCATTCTTGAGATCCTGTGATGCCTAGTTCAATGAAATTTTTTGGAAGGCTATCACATTTTTTACTTTTTGAATAATACACTTTCTACCCAATAACAGTCACCCCTATCCATCCATTCAATAACAGTTAGAGATTCAATGTGCTTGGTTTCAATTTTCTCCATTTAATTTTCTAGAAATTGAATTTTTTGTTTTCCATATTTTTTGTATTTAGTGAATATTTTTAAAATTTTAAGCAATTTTTTCGCGTAAAATATTTGTAAAAAATCAATATATACATAAAAATATGAAAATGTACTGATTTTTTGTTTGTTTGTTTTTTTTTTGTATTGTTGGTATTTAGTGAATTTTTTAAAGATTTTTTTTTTTATAAATATTATTCTTTTAAAGTATATTTTAGGTGTATTTAATTTTAAAAAATTTTAAAAAAATTGCTTAAAATATTTTTAAAAATCAGTAAAAATGAAAAAAAAAAACACAAAAAATAAAAAAAAAATCAATTTTCTAATAAATAAATCCTAAAAAGTGAAACTAAACAAACCGAAAATTGCTAATCAATTTTCCTCAATCGCCAAGCTGTCCAAAAATTTAAATATAAAATTACTGCCAATAACTAATAAAGTTCGATAAAGTTGAAGAAACAGAGTGTCAGTCTCCCGTAATTTCGATTTGAAAAATTTAGTTTCTATGTTTTTAATTTTGTTGTAATTTTCGATTTGAATAATTTAATTTCTACATTTTCAATTTTATTGTAATGTGGTTTATCCATGAAACCAAAAAAGACATGTATAAAACTAGAGAGACCACCGATGTCTCTCTAGTTTTGTTTCGTTCAAAATGTTAAAAGATTGCATTGCATGAGAGGGATTACATTATAGTAAAATTGAAAGTATAAAAACTAAATTGTTCAAATTAAAATTTATGAAAACCAAAGTAAAATTTCGTTCAAACTAGAAGCACCGGTGTAATTGACCCTAATTAATTAATAAAGTTAGATAAAATTGAAGAAACAGAGTGTAGAGGATAAGAAGAAATTCTCTATTCACCTGAGGTAATACGGGAATTCATCGAAGGTGACTTTGCCATCTTTACCATCAAGAACAAGTTTGAGCATCTCATGTTCCATTCTCTCGGGCGTAATGGCGTTTGAAGAACCAGAATTAGCCCAACTGCTCACACTCTGCCCTGAAGCCAAACCAATCCCAACCCCAACTCCTATCCCAACTCCCAACGCAGACATCAAAAACGGTTTCTGTTCCATTTTCTTCAAACCTTGTTCTAAATCTCACGCTAAACTAAACCTATCACTTCAATTCAAACACCAAAACAGAGACAAGTACTTCGTTGATTATCTCTGTTTTTACTCGAACAAAACCGACATAATTGACTGGTTGATACGAAACTCAAAGACCAATAACCGCTGTAACTGTTGACTACTAACTATCGCGATGAAATTGAAATACGTCAAAACCTCAATGCTACGAAGATTGATTTGAATTTTTTTGAAAGAAAAAAAAACTAAAAGCTAAAAACTCCAAATATTTGACGCAATCACAACTTCTCGATGACGAAGAAAGAAAAATGTAAACAAACACAACGATCTTAACCGCCACTCTCTCTCTCTCTCTATGTAGAAATTCTGTTGTTCTTATTTTCTCTCTCTAGGATCGCCGTTCGTCTTCAATCGGTCTCTCTCTCTTCTCTCTCTCTCTCTAAAAGTGGTTTTCGGACCTATATATGGCAAGGCGGAAGAAGCGGATCGAGAGTCCTAAAAACACGGCGAGGAAGTGATGAGCTCCGGCCACTGTAGACGGTGGTGGAGAGGTGGTTTGGTTGTGGTGGTGGTGGTGGTGGTAGTGTGGAGTCGGTTCCGTATTTTGAGGGTGAGAAGTGTGAGTAACGCCTCGTTTCCCAAGATAATATTTTAGTCAAAAAAAAATTATTTAAAAAATTAGAATAATTTATAATTTATATTAAAAAATTAAAATTAAAATTTCTTTATTTTTAACATATCTTCTCATAAAAATTTAAAAGATACATCAAACGTACTAAATTTTTTTACTTTATATTTTAGATAAAAAAGTAAAAAATTATTAAAATAACTGTTGGCAAAGACACCTAAGTTTCTTTTGATTTGGTTTTTCAAATGGAGTGATGTTTGAAAAAAAATTTTTTTTTTTTTTTATAGTCTAAGAAAAATGTTTAGTGAATTGAGTTTATCAGGCTCAAATATGTCAAAACAACATCACTTTAAATATTTCAAATCATACGAATTATGAATTTCCAGTCACCTATCATTATTGTTAATATATATATATATGATAGCGATAGAGATGGATCCGGACTCTTGGTGGCTCAGTGGCTCAGTACGTGGGCCCTACTTTTCTTTTTTGGGAAACTTTCAAGTTAGTGGCACTTGTAGACAAATGTTGTCACATTTTTTTAAACACAATTATGTTATGATAAATTTATAAATATTAATGTTTTAAATTTTTTTAATCAATTTATAATAATTTTTTTAAGCTATCACTCATATGTATTTTTCTTTTCTTATTATGTTACCACTAAGGAAAATTTTAATATGCACATACTTAAAAAATACACTATATACATTTTTAATTATAACATTTTTTTTTTAAATTATGACTCATAAAATTTATAATTATGTCTTATATTGTATTTAGATATGACAATTTTTTTTAATTATAACTTAAAAAATATATTATTTTATTATTTTATTATTTAATTATAAAATACATAGACATGTGTATCATAATATTTTCCTACCACTAATACATTATTTTATTATTTAATTATAAAATACATAGACATGTGTATCATAATATTTTCCTACCACTAATACATATCATAAAAAAATGTGCATGCTCAAGTGGTATAATCTTAATGTAATTATATTAATTTTTATAAAAATTAATTCACAAAATATGTATAATTATTATTGTTAATAATTTATTAGTTATAGGAAAATCATATTTTATTTGTTTTACATTAAAATATATATATAGTGTGTTTGTTTGAAATTATTTAATCTTATCAAAAAGAGAGAAGTTAGTTAATATAATTATATTATATTTTTTTAATCTAAAAAAATCAATATAATTTACCAAATATATATGTCAAATACAAGAAATTTTTTATTTTGTGATAGAATGTATATTTTTCTTAACCATACTCTTTTTTTTTTTTGCTTTTTCCTCGCTCTCCAAACTCAAACAAAAAAATAATCCTTCATTTCACAATCAATAATAATAGAGAGCTCTAATTTTAGAATTCTAAAAAGAACTCTAATAATGTGATAAGGAGTACGGCCCGCATGTGATGTAATGTGTATGCCTATGTTTTTTCTTTTTCTCTTATCACATCATCGGAGCTCTCTTTAAATTTCTAAAATTAAAACTTTCAATTTTTATTTTTTCACAATTACTATTACTGACATTACTAATAGCTCATGCAATGCAAACCATCACCAACTACCGTCACCATTATTAAGGGCATAAGGGTGTAAATTGGGCCCATGCTAGCCCATGTCGAGCCGCCCCGGATCTCGCTAAAATTTGGATCCGGTCCGACCGGTCCACGAGTCAGACAATTAGGCTCAGGCTCAGGGAGTATTCGGGCTCGGGCTTGGGTTTGGGCGGGGCCTGAACATTTTTTTTGAATTTTTTCTACTAAAATTTTATTTTATTTTTATTAAAAATGACATTGGGCCTTGGACAAACCGGAGCCTCAGGTTAAGCTTTGAGTAAATCTTGATTTGACTAATGGGTTAAGCTATGGGCCGAGCTAGGCTGGTTGAACCAAGTTTCAAAATAACAATCTAGAATTTCAAGTTAGACTCGGGCCCAGACCCAAACCCACCTCACAAGTTACAGGCCGTTTTTACACCCTTATAAGGGTAAGCCATCACTCTCTAATCATTTACTTTATTGTCGTCTTCATCAAAAGCCAAATCAATTCACCCTCATTCCCATGCAAATAAAAATTATGTCTCAATTCAAGTTTAATTTATCCGATTAAGATTGACTAATCATATAAATAAATTATATTTAAAAATACTAATTAATTTTTAATCCAACAATCTAACCGACTGTTTAAGCATGAAAAAGTCAGAAGTTGGATTGACGGCAAAATAAATCATTCATGTAACTTTTATGTAAAACTTGTTGCAATTTAATAATAGCATCAATTTGAAAGCAAATTTTGTTAGATGGCGATGTGAACCTCACACAAAGTTGTGGGAGCATTCATTGATTGTAGATGGGTTCAGTGATCCGTGAGGGTTCGTCTTGAACGGTTGGTACGTATATTTTTTACATAATTATTTAAGATTTAATTTTTGAGATTAGATCATAAGAATTTTTTTATTTTTTGTGAATTTCTTAATTCCGGTATGAATGACCTCTTTGGACCAAATCAAAAAAAAAATTAGTTGAAATACACATAAACTGATCCAAACACTCCTTATTGTTGAAAAAAAAATAATAATAATAGATAGGTACAGTAAACAACAAATTTTGATGCATGTGTGTTCGCCTGATCCGTAGTACACGGATTGGTTCTGGATTGAACCCTATGGTTCCGGATTGGAACCGATCCGAACCGTATACAAATAGTATATATTTTTATTATACATCCTCCCCCATAGTATCTTCTCTTATTCTATATAAAATCTAAACTCAAACCTAAAACCGTATAATATCTTTTTTTATTACTTTTGTTTGTTCGTTTTTAGTTTTAATTTGTAATGGTCTAAATATTTATAGTGAAACCAGTTTTCTTATGGTTGTTTAAATTCTAGCACAGTATGTCGTTATTATAGAAATAGATGTTGCTATTGTGGAACTAATATAGTGCTATGTTTATATTTTTATGAAATTAAAGTGTTATATATATATTTTTGTTATTTAATTATGTGAATCCGTGGTCCTAAACCGATCCAATCCGTATTTAAATGGATTGGTTCAAATTGGTTCCATGATTTAAACGGATTGGATTGGTTCCAATTTTTCAGGAACCGTAGATAACGGATTGGTCCTGGTTTTACCCCAATCCGGTCCAATCCGAACCATGCTCACCCCTAGGATCAGTGATCCTTGAGGGTTCGTCTTGAACAGTTGGTACGTATATTTTTTACATAATTATTTAAGATTTAATTTTTGAGATTAGATCATAAGAATTTTTTTATTTTTTTGTGAATTTCTTAGTTCTGGTATGAATGACCTCGTTGGACCAAATCAAAGAAAAAATTAATTAAAGTGCACATAAATTGATCCAAACACTCTTCTTGTTGAAAATAAAATAAAATAATAGATAGGTACAGTAAACAACAAATTTTGATGCATGTGTTTTCGCCTGATGCCACCGAAGCCCATAGCCAATCAGCTTTTAGGCCTCACCAGGCAAGTTGGGTGAAGTTTATCCCACTTCATTTAATTTTTTTTTAAAAAAAAAAATCAATTTAGATAATTCAAAAATACACTTTAGATAGAAAATCTTATGACTCGGCTATTTTATTTTTTGGGTTCAGAAGTTGATATAAAAAATATAATGTGAATAGAGAGGAAATTGTGTGATAATAGAAATTTATAAGAAAAATTGAAGATTCTCACTTCTAAGTGGAGTGGTTATTTAATGGTTTTGGAGTATTATTTTACGTAACAAAAAATATTGAGTCTAATTGCTTTAATTAATCAATTTCAAATTAGGACACTATATGAATTTATTCCAAAATGGCTTAATGATTTTTTTTTCAATTTGCGAAAGTCAGCTGTTAATTGTTAGATTAGTATCAATCAAAATGGCTTAATGATTTTTTTTTTTTTTAAATATGTGAAAGTCAATTGTTAGTTGTTAGATTAGCACTAATAGGAGTTAGTCTCCCCATCCTAGTAAAATACCAAGTACTTGTCTCTTAATTCAATTCTCCTTTACAAGAATTATGGTTAGGCCTAGTTGGCCTACCATCTCAATCTAACTCAATATTTTGAAGATTTGAAGCAAATATTTAACTCATACGGGCGTTGAGATATTAAGCTTGTTTATTTTTTGAGTTAAGTTTGGAATGAGAAATTTTATCGTAGCCTCACCTATCCATTTAGTTTTAGATTTGCTTTTATTTTTCCTTTTTTTCAGAAATTTGTACTTAAATTTAAAATTTAAATACATCATTAAGAAATAATTATTTATATCTCATTTATTTATAAATAAATTTTAAATTTTTTCTTTAAGGTTCATATGATTGAATTCTAAATACATGCTAAAAGACAAATTTTACAGTTATTTATAAAAAAAATAGTGGGATTAACAATTTTCCATTTATTTGATCCATTTTTTTTTCCTTCAAAAAGATTTTACTATTCGTGAGTTGCATGCATTTTTTATAGTTCTACATTTATGAGCACTGAATTAATTAAGTTACTTAATTATTAACTTACAGAACTTCTTAAAACGGTCAGGATGGCCGAGTGGTCTAAGGCGCCAGACTCAAGTTCTGGTCTTCGTGAGAAGGCGTGGGTTCAAATCCCACTTCTGACATTTAATTTTTTCCTGCATTTATTTATTTATTTAACTGTTTCTGCAGATCTTTTTTATTTTTTGCTGCGGATTTTTTTTTTTTAATTTAATTTTTTTTACTTACTTTTTTTTAATTTTACTTTATTTCTTTTATTTTAGCTGCAGAGATTATTTTTAATTTTTGCTGCAGAGATTATTTTTAATTTTTGCTGCAGATTATTAACCTTGGTAGCTATGGTTTTTAGATAGTATAATTTTCACACTCTTATGCTCCATTTATTTTAGTAGAAAACATTTTATGTGCAATTTTTTTTGTATAAAATGTTTTCCTATATTTTGTTGCTTCTTGGAAGCTATTATATTAATGATTGTATTAGTGGTGGTGACAGTTATAGTATGATAGCAGTGATAAGATTTTAATTCGAAAAACGTTTTTCATCCTTTGGTAGTAGAAAATATTTTTAGCACAAGTATGTTTATTTTCCGTTGACTATGGAAAACATTTTTCGCTGTTTTTTTTGTTTCTATTATACCAATGCTAAAAAATGCGAAAATCATTAGTCAAAAATATTTTTGTTAACCCATTGAAAAAAAAAATCTTGCTAGATCTCAATTATAAAATTTCTGTTCACTTCAGAAGTTCATCATACTGGCAAAGACTAACATGAAAGATAAAGTTTATTGCACTAATATAATAATGAACATCAAATAATAAATGAATTTGACCAGCCTCCAATCTTAAAATTGGTTGATTTGGCAACACAAAGAAAGCAAATATTATGCTAGAAACTTGTGATAGACAGGAGAGTTGTACCTTTTTATTTTCCTTTTGGAAAATTTCCAAGGCAATAGACACCAAAAGATAACAATGACCTTTATTGCTTGAAAGACAGACCACAATATTACACAAGATTCGCTAGACATGAGAATTTTCATTTTCACCCAACTTAAACATTCACCAAAATAGTTTTTTTTTTTTAACAAAAAGAAAAAAAAAATGTCCTACTCATAAAAAAAAAAATACAATAGACAATACCACAAAGACAATACCAGTATGCAAGATCTCCTTCGTTATAATTACTTGCACAAAAAATTTATTGTTGTGATTTCAATCATAAATCCAAATACGCCCACAATATGCATTTTATGAGACAAAAACAAGAATGTTAATCGGATGCAACTCTTCCCCTCCTTGCTAAGTAACCAAGCCTTAAAAAAAACCTCACAAAATAAAAAAAAAAAAGAAAAAAGAGAGAGACACAGTCCACAAGATTCCTGTTAAAATGGGATCTGCTAATACAAGCATATACACGTGCGTTTACATTTTGCTGCCCCAAAACACGTCCTTCTAATGCATATCAGATGTCACACCTGAATCTACCAAAACGAGCGAGATTCGTTTACAAATGGTAGTTCATTCCCACTTCAATCAAGCTAATGTGAGGAATAGTCAAGGTCACAGCTGATGCCCGGCAGTTCTTCCGTAAGAATGAGTACAGATTGAACACAAGCTGCTTCAAGAATGACGAATTCCTCCTCGCCTTTATATGCGAATGGCTGACTATATATGCTACCCCAGCACGCTTAGCTTGCAAAAGTTCACAAAGCTCTTCATTAACATGCGGATACATATGATCATCCGTATACGGCAAATTAAACTGCAATCGGCGTCTGTGGATCAAATGGGGCGATTCATGCTCATACATTGCCTGCAATTTCTGTAGTGTGGCGGACTTGCCATTGGGTATAGTGGTGGCAGTGCTTGAACTTCTGGTTTCTTCGGATGTAATGCGATCTGATGTTACCAATCTCGTCCCGAATTTCTCTGACGTCCTCACGACCGCCATCCAACCATCCACTGACCCTTCAATCGCTGCGGAACCTTCAGCTTCCATTTTGATGAATTCTGCTATGCACATCACGAGATGGTTTTCGAAATCTTCATCATCCTTGTGGACGTCTAGGTATCCATACCGGACGATGCAACGGTACAAACGATAATCTTTGGGGCCGATTCGACCAATGAGGTACCGCTCTTTATGGGGTACATAAGGAACGAGAACAGATTTGACGCAGACGAAGATGATCACTTGGTGAATAGCCGGCAAGTTGGTCATAAAATGGGAGAATGTGGCTGGGATTCCAGTTACTAGTTCTGTGTAGATAAGGCCAATTCCTGGAACCCTAATGATCCCAAGACTTGGACCTAATGTAAGGATCCATTTCATGGACACCTTGCTTTGCATGTCGAATAAATGCTTCCTCCGGGTGCCGTAGTGCCACACATACATGATTATGAGGAAGACTGAAGATAGCACAAGAGGAACCCATCCGCCTCGATGAAGTTTCATACAAGAAGATGAGAGATAGATGGCCTCGGCAAACCCAAAGAGTAGGAGGAATGAAAGGGAAAGTATGAAACTCTTTTGCCACACAAAGTTGATCACCAATGACATCAAACATGTTGTGACAAATGCTTCAGCTATGCATGCAATACCTGAAAGTAAGATAACAGCAAAAAACAATAGCTTTCAATACGAAAGGATGAGACCTAGAATGAGTATAAACATTTCACAAAATAATAACTAAGCTCAGGGCCAGAGGTGGTGGGGAGACTGGAGAGAGGGGAGAGTGAAAACTTGTTTTGAAAACAAGTGAACACATTTTTTCTTTGTATCAAAATTTTTTAAATTTTTTTGAATTAATTCCACTTTTTTTAAAACAAAAACAATATATGAAACAAATTTTCTTTTCTAGTTCCCCAAAACAGAAATGGGAAACAGAAGCATTACAAAATGATGCCTTAAGAGAATCTAGGGTAAAAAGTTTTGCATTATGGCATAAAAAGAATTCAAACATTTTATCCACTTATACACTTGGCATGAATAGACACATATCCATGAAATTGGTAATAGAAAAAGATGACCAAGTAACTTAAATTTCATGAGTTGAAGATGTTTTAACCAAAGAAAAACTTACCATAAGCATTCCCAATAAGTGATATCTTATGTAGACCAGCCGTGACAGCCACACTGAGAATCATGAGGATCCAGTTCATTTCTGGGACGTACATCTGACCATCAATCCATCTTGCCTTGTGTAGAACCTTGATGCGGGGAAAACAGCCCAATGAATGGCATTGTTTGACAATTGAGAATGTGACAGAGATGACAGCCTGGCTGGCAACAACCGCAGCGAGATTTCCCAGGACAAAAACTGGCCAAAATATGGGATCTACCAAAAGGCAAGAACATTCTTTCAAAAATACAAACAATTGCTTTCTTTGTAAATTATGATGAAGTGGACTGCTAATGCACATCTATATTAGTGGTGACAAATTTTCCAAACGAGGAATTTATCAACAAAAAAAAAAATTTCCAAACAAGGAAGCTTGCAGCAAAATGGGCCCATATTCCTGCCCAAATTCCAGGTGAATCGTGCAAGATCAAATGCATATATTTCCTACAAGAAAATTGGAACTCGGGAAATTTAAACTTCCATTCAACTCGATCAGGTTTAGGCTTAGAAAAGTTCTCACTTTGGAGAACGCAAAAGCAGATTCCTCAATGGACGGGTAAGGAGCCTAAAAGAAGTAACGACCCATAAAATCACCCAAGTCATGACCAGTTGAGGACTGCTAATCAGGCTATTGATAGGCCCTAACCATGTGACTTTCTATTATTTCTATTATTGTGTTGAATTTACAAGATTATGGGTTTTTATCTCAAGTCTTACACGAGTCGTATCAAACTTTTATGATTTGAAGTTGCTGATGTGCTTTTGATTATTTCAATTATTCATGTTTTAAAGCATAACAAGAACAAGGCCAGGACAAAAAATTTATGGAGTGCCGCTTATTTAGCAGTGGAGTATCAAACTCAAGACAATATCTTACTCCTATTTACTGGTAATAAGTATTGGGGCAAATCATATTAGTGGTCCTTGTAATTTGTCTCGTGTTAATTTTGTCCCTGTAGTTCAAATTGTATTAATTTTGCCCTTTAATTTAGTCCAATTGATAACATCTGTTAAAAATTAAACAAAATTAAAGGGCAAAATTGTCCATGCCAAAGGAAAAGAACCATTTCAAATTGGATATCAACCTCTCAATCTAGAGGGTATCAATTGGACTAAAATGATACAAGGCGAAAAATTCAAGGGTAAAATTGATTCAATTAGAACTACAAGGTCTAAATTGACACAAACGACAAACTACAATGATTGTAAGCGTAATTTGTCCTAAATATTGGCAAGTTGGCATGAAGAATAACTGCTTAGTTCATGATCAACTGGTATGTGCGTTAAGTGCAAAACTAAGGGTTACCCTGTTAAGGGAATATGCAAACTGATCTACAAACAAAAATGAACTTATAAGAATAATAGATTACAACCAATTTTTAGTTGGCTTTGCCTCAAATATCTTCTATGCCTGATGCTGACCTTATTAGACGACTGAGATCATATATGATAGCATCCTTTATGGAAAACTACTATTTTAATGTGACAAATGAATATAGGTCCTAGTCGAGTAATAGTTTACCCGGAATTGAAGAATAGAAGCTTGAAGATATTGCATAAAAATTCTTTGAAAGGAATGCAGCCTGCCCCATATATTGAAGAACTAGACAGGGGTAAACAACACAAGAAAACGAAACCTGCAACCGCAATGAATATTTTTAGGATTTGACTTAATTGGTAAATATATGAGAAAAAGCACAATTATCAGACCAACCAAAATTTCTTATTGAAGCTACAAAAAAGCCGAGTGATGGAAATCAGTTCGAGTTGTATGGTAAAATTTAAGCATAAGTTTCAGCCGTAATTATTAGTTCACTCAACTATGGATCATAAAGAAAAGGAACCCACACATAAAACATATATTTTATTGGGACAAGTAAATGAAATTGCATTAGAGAAAGTGCCAAGGGGGAACCAACCTTGTACAAAAGAGGGGGAAAAAAAAAACTACATCTCACCGATAATGAATTGATACATCATCAATGTCAAGCTATCAATTGATACATCTAGATTTTGGATCTCAAATATTGGCCAATATTGACATTTAAAATCCAAGGAGTGTCAGATCATGTCGAAATATGATAATGAATTTCCTAGGTGGCTGATATAGTAGGAAGGATAAAAAAAACAATGGCAGCTGTGACATCTATAATACTACTTTGGGCCTCTGGCATCCCAGAGTTCGAAAAAGCTACTATCAGGTTGCAATTGCAAAACCCAATACCTTAGTCAGACCATGTCACAGAACTCTACAAGGTGTTTCCAGTCGAAGTTACCATCATTGTTGAAAACATCTATTAACACAAATCAATCATAGAACCGAGCACAACCCTCTCACATGAGTTGGGTCCCATATTTTTTGTGGGTCTAGGGGTCCCACATCCATGTGATAGGGTTGCGTCTAGTTTTGTGATTGGTTTTTGTGCAAGGGAAAGAACTAATCATTGTTTATAGTTTCTATAATCTATATAATGACTTAAACATGGATTAATCAAGAATAAAGTCCAATGCAGTAACCAATAGCTATGCATACTCTTATCGATGCAGATGTGAAGTGGCCAAGGTTTGCAAACATAGCTCCAGTTCCTGCAGACAAGAAGAAAAAGCTATAACAATCTGATTATTGTAGAGCTGAATGAACAAAACATTATTGGATTACAAACATGAAACTTACCTGTGATACAAAGAAGAATTCCTCCTAGAGAAAGCCAACCATCTTTTCCTGTGTCCCTAAAGAACTTGTAGGCATAATACGGAGAAAGTGCACGGTATATTTTTGGGTTCCACTCAATTATATTGTAGATCCCGACAGCAGCAATGGATAGCAACCATAGGATTATAATTGGAGCAAATAAGAAGGCCACCATGTGCGTACCGTGGTGCTGCATTGCAAAGAGGCCAACTAATACAGCACAGGCAATAAAAACCACCATATCTGTGTAGTACATAGAAAGTCTTAGCACAGTGAAGAACAGCACGGTGATGGGAAAAAACAGAAAAATCAAAAGAAATTCCATCCTGATGTATGTCTCCTGCAACTTAGCTAGTACTGATCCTGATAACCCAAAATAAGAAATTATATTGACGCATTTCTCTTTATTTCTGTCTTTCATTCTCTCGTTGCAATCTCTTCTATTTTTCTTCCAATTTTGAGGTTTTATATCAGGAAAAATTCAAAGCATAGAATATGTCAGGAAAGCTTTTACCCATGCTCTCAGTCTTAGACTCTATCGAGTAAACATCATATTTTATGTTCTTCCAAAACCATACTTCTCCAACTTATTGGAGTCCTCCTCTTTTCTACTAGACATTTCCCATAAGAACTTGCTTGTATTCTATTACATATTAAATATTCAATAATGCTAGGTATCATGAAAGAAATATCATGAAAACCTTCATGAAAATTCTCCACCATTGGATTAGTTTCATGAAACATTTCATGATATTTATTTCATAATGCATAGCATTACTCTTAAATATTTGCATACCAAAAAGACAAGGAAAAGATTAAAGATTCAAACTTAAAAGAATCAGGCCTGATTCCAACTTCCATATCTCTTTTTTCAAAAACAGAAGCACTATTTATCTTCTACAAATCTCTGCTCGAGAAGTAAAGAAAAATATCAAAATATTATAGACCATCTCAATGTATCAAGGACCCCCCCCCCCCAAAAAAAAAAAAAAGTGCGGGAAAACGTGTCTTGTTCTCCTTAGGTAAACTTACAATCCATCTGGCACTTGCAAATGCAACTAGAAGTTACAAAGGTTAGAGCTTTCATGTCATTATTTAAATTAGGTATGATAATGTTTTCTCCTCCGTTCCCATGAGTTTTGAACTAAGTAGCACAGATACAGACACGATGACAAGGTGATTTTCAAAAAAATGTAGGATACAATATGCCTGGAACACTTTAAAATTTTATATTTTTATAAATTTATTATATGTCAAATATATGAATAGTTTATCAAAGATAATGAAAAGAAAAGGAAAAAGATAGAAGCAACGTAGCACTAATTAAAATTAAAAGGTCATATATAACATACCTTAAACATCAAGATATAATTGCATTCTTAATAATACAAAACAATCTTAAAACATTGAAATGCACATGATTATTCATCTTATAAACATTTTGAAACATATTTGGAGTGCACAAGTTGCACTACAAAAATGCTAAATATAGTTACTATGAAAAAATTCATCACATAGGTCATGTTCGGAGGGATCAAGAAGTCTCACCAAAGTGTCTAGAAAGTGTCCGATATTATGAATTTAAAATTTTAATTAAAACATGTCGAAGAAGTGTTAGACACGCCATTAATATGAGCAGAATACTTGGTCCGGCATCTTCACATGCACTAGCTTTTATAGATCATTATGACAAAAGAATTCCTCCCCCCCCCCCCCCATCATGAAACCCCCTTCCTCTCCCCGTCTCTCAAGTTTTACTTACGGTCTTGAAATCTTGCAGCATAAACTTGCAGCCCTTTAACGGATGATAACACTGCAAAAGACCAGTGCATAAATGATTAATGAATAGCAAGAGTAACAGTTCAGAATGAATCATTTTGATCCCCAAGGATTTTAAAAGGGTTGGGAAAGGCCTAAGACAGTGCTAGTACCCGAAATTGCAGGTGTGAGGATACCATCACATATCAACAGGGAAGCGCCAAACAATAACATGAGAAGTATACCAGTTTTCATCTTTTTATGCCTCTCAATAAACCTTTTAAATGCCGAGGAAGGTATGTTCCTACTTGAGTATCCAAGAGGATGATACGTGCTAATCTCCTCATCTGCAGCTTGATGATTAGGAAGCAAACTGAATTTTGCGTGTCTGCAAAGGAGAGAGTACAAAGCAAATGGTCCTCCTGTGAACAAGCCCAACAATTTTAGCACAAATGAAAGAAGAAAATACATGGAGGTTGACTATAAGCATCATCAAAAAGATATTGGTTCTTACCTTCACCATTATCATCTGCAGTCAACGTTATGATGACATACTTGAGCAGTAAAAGAAGCGTAAGAGACCAAAATATCAAAGAAAATACCCCAAAAACTGCATCCTCGGTTTGATAATTATGTAATCTTCCAGAAAATGTACTTATGTAAACATAAAGGGGGCCAGTGCTCAAGTCTCCGTGCACTATGCCAAAACTCTGATATGCTAAAAGGAGAACATTCTTACGTTGATTTCTACGGTCAACCTGCTTGGATTGGAAATCAATGTTTAATGAATGAATATCAAATATTAACAATATCTTAGTTCAAACATGCCTATAAGGTCATTGAGAAATATATGCAGGTGCAGTATCTAGGTTACATAAAGGACTAGTTCATGGATTAATAGATTGACACCATTCACGAGTAGAATTAAGGGTCAACATTCGTGTTAATAAACTATTCAAGAGTAAAATTAAGGCCCAATATTCGTGTCAATAGAATGAAATAACCCTCACAGAATAATTTTCAAGTATGTCATGACCTAAATCCAAAAACAATACCTAAAGAAATTCAGCTTCTTAAACAATTTTCTTAAATCTTGATCATGTGCGTTTCAATATCAAAAATTGGTCTTCAGCCTTGATTGCATCGCTTCTTTTTTTTCTTTTTCTTTTTTTCCTTCTTTCATTCAGCTCCACCATGACCCATACATTCTTTTGAAATGCCATCATGTCTGTCATAATTTTCTATCCACGTTATTTTTTCCTACCTGTTTCTTTTATGACATCTTTGACTTGAATTGAGTAGCGAGGAATTGTATGGTCATTGCTCTTTGTTGCACATTATCACACATATTGAAAGATCTTTCTGAATTTGTTCTCAATTGGTGCTCAATTGGTGCAGATTGTGAGTTACATAGTGCACATACTACTTTCTAAAATTTGGTAAAACTTTTGGGGTCTCTAGCATTATTGCTTTCTAAATCTTATCTTTGTTTGCTCCCTCATTTATTTCAACCCTTAATTAACAAGTTATTTCTTGATTTTGAGCCCTTGGCATTGTAGCTGTCTCGCAAATTTCTTTTATACAATTACTCAATAATATTGAGAATTACTTTATTTTACCCCATTCACTTTGTATGAGTAAAATATACTTCGATGCCCATAACCTTATAGATAATCAAATCTAAGAGATCTAATCAATGATAAAAAATTCGTCAACAAAACAAGTAAAAGGCCTAGAAACTAACAAATTCAAATCTAACTAGTTACATATTCCTCAAATTTAAAAAGAATCACACATCACATTATATATCCAGACAACACAGCAATACAAATTTGGCTGCATTAGGAAACTAATGCATATCTTAGTTTTCCTCTTACATGTGTATCTCTATATATAGATGGATTGGAGACGTACAAAATATAAAATAAAGTAGAAGACAGAAGGCGGAGATAGAAAGATAATTTTTTAGGGGATTTTTTGTTTTTTTTTGTTTTTTGGTTCTTTTTTCTTTTTGGTGGGTTGGAACAACTTGAAATCATAAGTAGGCAACATTTATTTCCCTCAAAGGAAGAAATGAAGAAAAAATGAATTTTGAAAAGGACTTGAAGATTAACATGACCACACAAGAACAAATAACCAGAATAGACTCCTAAAATGGACATTCCAAACACAACCTAACCAGCCTACACAGTACAAAACAACTGGAAAATACCAGCATCATCAACACCACTAGGAATTAAATGCAACTCAATAAAATTACACTTCATATCCACCTTTTCTCTAGCACTTGATTTTATTACCTCAGACTAGAAAAACCCATATCAACATTCAAACATAAATTGCAATTTCTGATCACAAAACCCATGTACTAATTCCACATAATGTTCAAATCAAACAAATCAATAACTCTCCATATCACCAAAACTGTCACATTTCATGAAATTATCAGAAAAAAACAAAAATAAAAATTGCCCTTCTATTAACACTCAATTTAGATTCATATAAGCATAGATACAAACAAAGAAAATTGGATTTGAAAGGGCAATACCATAGCTGTAAAGATTAGGCTCTGTGAATTGCCTGCTTTTTCTATGGAGAGCGTGGAGGAGCTCAACTAATCAAGAACAAGATATATATAATGGAATATATATATATATATATATATGTATTGTGTGTATATAAATTAACATTACGGAGAAATGACGAATTGAATCGGTCGACATAGCTGTTGCGACTGTTGCAAATCTGGCGTGTAATTCGTCCGAGTTTGTTGTGTAGCGATCCACATGTATTCGTCAAAAAGGCCTAATTGTGATTTTTTCTATTAGGTTTTGGAAAAGGAAATAACAATATAAACCCTGTATGCTTCAATGGGTTGTTCATGTGAAGAGACCCTACCACTTCTCTCTCTCATTTTTCATTTTAATTGTCTCTTCTATTTTCTCGTATATATATCTATATAATAAAATAGAACTATTTTTGAAAAAATCTATATATAACTAGGGAAATTTGGCTATAAACTTCCTTTACCTTCCTTTCATCGCTAGAAGGACTAAGTTAGAAGGACTAAGAAAAAAAATTATACTTTCTAAACCCTCTTATAATTATAAAGTCTTACATAAATGACAAAATTTATTATTTAAATATTTTATCATACTATTATACTCTCAACTAAGAGCTGGTTTTGGGTATCCTAAAAAAATGTACTTTTTGTCTTTTTGGACTAAAAAAGTTGAGAAAAAAATATGGAGGTTTGGGTTAACTTTTTGGATTTTTAAGAAAAAATGTGTATTAAAAAATTGTATAAAAAAAGTGTGTAAGAGATGAATAGTGACAGGTGGGCCCCAGCCGTACAAATCGGAAGGTGTGAATGGGAGTTGGAAATTATTGGCTATTTTTTGTACAAAGCACTGCACGGTTTTGTTTGGTCTGTGGGGGTTATCACGGGTCCCATTTTAATAATCTGAACCGTTCAATGTATATAACTCGTCGAACACTATGTACCTATAAAAAATCACGTTAATCGGATATCGATAGCTATCTGATCAGATATATTTATTTTTCAATCATTAATTATAATATCATCCATTTGTCGTACATAACTGATCTGATCATATAGTTATCGATATCCGATCAATGTGATTTTTTGCAGACATATAGTACTCGACGAGTTCTACACATTTAACGGTTCAGATTATCAAAATGGGACCCGTGATAGCCCCTGCAGGCCAAACAGCGGTGTGTGTGCAAATCACACCCAATCATTTCATATATGTGCACTGCCGCTGCACAGCAGCCGGCTTTTGGTCAATTCGGTGTGTACTTTGGGCAGAAAATAATAATTATTATTATTTTTTTTTTGTGAATAGTGATATCTTTTTGGATTTTGGAGTAACTTTTTGGCTTATTTAGGATAAGCCAAACCAGCCCTAAATTTTCTCACATTCTCCCCCCACTCTCTCCCCACCTTCTCCGTCTCTATGGCTCTGGCCAGCCAAAATCGAGTTCATCTAAGCCTAAGATTCATTCAATCTTTGACCTAGAACACTGACCTGGTTCAAGCAATCACAATATGACCTCGTGTATTTGAATTGAAGCTTAGTTTGAAGTTTTAATCGAATTTGCGTCTGTCAATAAACCAAGGACTTCATCGCGAAACTGATCCGATTCAACAATCAACCTGAATTCAAGCTTCTGGGACTCACGATTACAAACTGGAGTCCTTCGCGATCTGACCTTGGATTTTCTCTTGTGACTCGTTGTTCTTTGAGTCAACTTCGATGAGAACTTTGGATTTCGAGTTCCAATTGGACTTGCGATTTTAGTTTGCATCTGGCTTGAAGGTTGCAAACTCTAAGTTCAAACGACTTGCAGATCGGGTTCGGTAATTGAATCGAAATCAGACTTGTGTTTGCTATCTTGAAGCGAAATTATACTTGATTTGAAGCTTCGATTGCAATTTGAAGACCCATCGAGTTCGCAATTGTGACATAAGTCTTTCTCTTGATAGGTAGCATCTTCTCTTTATTGATACAAACACATAACACACACAAAAAGAAATATGGTGTTGAGGTTGCAAACATGGATGATTTTGAAATTTATTATTTAAATATTTTATCAGACTATTATACTCTCAACTAAATTTTCTCACATTCTCCCCCCACTCTCTCCCCACCTTCTCCGTCTCTATGGCTCTGGCCAGCCAAAATCGAGTTCATCTAAGCCTAAGATTCATTCAATCTTTGACCTAGAACACTGACCTGGTTCAAGCAATCACAATCTGACCTCGTGTATTTGAATTGAAGCTTAGTTTGAAGTTTTAATCGAATTTGCGTCTGTCAAGAAACCAAGGACTTCATCGCGAAACTGATCCGATTCAACAATCAACCTGAATTCAAGCTTCTGGGGCTCACGATTACAAACTGGAGTCCTTCGCGATCTAACCTTGGATTTTCTCTTGTGACTCGTTGTTCTTTGAGTCAACTTCGATGAGAACTTTGGATTTCGAGTTCCAATTGAACTTGCGATTTTAGTTTGCATCTGGCTTGAAGGTTGCAAACTCTAAGTTCAAACGACTTGCAGATCGGGTTCGGTAATTGAATCGAAATCAGACTTGTGTTTGCTATCTTGAAGCGAAATTATACTTGATTTGAAGCTTCGATTGCAATTTGAAGACCCATCGAGTTCGCAATTGTGACATAAGTCTTTCTCTTGATAGGTAGCATCTTCTCTTTCTTGATACAAACACATAACACACACAAAAAGAAATATGGTGTTGAGGTTGCAAACATGGATGATTTTGAAGAAGAATTTTTTTTTTTTTTTTTCAATCTGGCTGGTTGTTAATCTAATTTTTTTTTTTTATTTTTGTTGATTTGCTGAGTTTAATCAGGTGTGTGCTTTAGTTTTTGTTTGACAGAATGCGAGTAAATTTTACTTTGGTTTGTGCTTTATTTTTGTTTGACATAATAAGAGTAAAATTTTACTCTGGTTTGTGCTTTGTTTTTGTTTGACAGAATGAAAGTAAAATTTTACTCTAGTTTGTGCTTTGTTTTTGTTTGACAGAATGAAAGTAAAATTTTACTCTGGTTTGTGCTTTGTTTTTGTTTGATAAAATAAGTGTAAAATTTTACTCTGGTATGTGCTTTATTTTTGTTTGATAAAATGAGAGTAAACTTTTACTTTGATGTTATCTGTTTTATTTTTTATTATTTTTTTATACAATGATAGTAAACTTTTATTCTATTATTGTGTACTTCTGTTATTTGTTTTTGGACTCCTAGTGACAGTAAAATTTTACTATCAATTCATTGCAAATTTGAATTATATAATGATAGTAAAATTGTACTTTCAGAGTAAAGTTTACTATGATTCAAAGTAAAATTTTACTCTGAATCAGTAAATCAGAGTAAAGTTTACTATGATTCAAAGTAGAATTTACTCTGGTTAAAAACATGTTGATTTGCTTAACGATATAAAATTTTACTTTAAATTATAGTAAACTTTACTCTGACTCTGAATCAGAGTAAAGTTAGTCAGAGTAAAGTTTACTATGATTCAAAGTAAAATTTTACTCTGGTTAAAAATATGTTGACTTGCTTAACGATATAATATTTTACTCTGAATTAGAGTAAAGTTTATTATGATGCAAAGTAAAATTTTACTCTGAAATTTTACTCTGGTTAAAAATATGTTGATTTGCTTAACGATATAAAATTTTACTTTGAATCATAGTAAAATTTTATTCTGAAATACATTGTGAAGATGGCTTAATAGGAGAGCTGATGGATATGAGAGTAATATAGTAAAAGAAATAAATTTTAAAATATTAGGGGGTTTTGAAAGTACATATATAATTCTTGTCTTTTTGAAAGACAAATTAGACAGTGAAGGATCTATCACCAAATCTCCCATATAACAATAGAAGACTTCATTTGAAATTATATTTCAAATTAATAGTTTAGATCCGTCTAATTTGAAAAGCAATGGTTCAGATTTATTTTTAAAAATATATCTCTCACAAACAACTTCAATGGTTCAGATTTGTCTAATTTAAAAATAATGGCTAAGATTCAAAAGAGATTCAATGGTTTAGATTTATCTAAGAAATAAGATTCAATGGTCCAAATTTGTTTACATATCAACTCTTACCAACTTACTGCACTTTACATCATACGTATGCTGCGCTTTACATCATATGTATGTATAAACAAAACTTTGAGGAAGCTTTAAAGAATGAAAAACAAAGCTCAATGGAAAACTCTTTGCATAAGGAAGAACAAAACTCTTTGTATTCCTTTTCATTTTTTCTCTACCATCACCAGGTAAGGAACTCTTATATCCTTACTTTCTTTTTGTTTTCCATTCATTTTTTTACCTCTGTTTTTTTCCCCCCTTTCTAGTTCATAGCTCTGTTTTTTTTTTTTTTTTTTTTTTTTTTTTTCATCATCCTGTCATCCCCACCCATCCAACTTTTCTGTCTTTATATCACGATTATACTTTCAGTTTGAATGCTAAACAATGGCTCAGATTTATTTTGTTCTCCCTTGGCTTTACCCATTGTTTTTTCTTGAAGCAAAAAGAAAAATTTGTGTTGTGTTTTTTTTCTTAGTTCTTTTTTAACATTAATTGGATTGACCCCTCTCTCTCTCTCTCTCTCTATCAAATGGGGATTAAGGAAAAATGGATTTCATTTTAAGAATCATTTTTATTTCATCTTAGTCAAATGGGTTGAGGCTCTCTTTAATTATCAATGGTCATATTTTGTTCTTTTTTAATTTTTTGTTTGATTTTTGATTGTGTTTTAATCACTGTTTTTTGTCTTGCAGATTGCTGTTTCTCGGTGCTCTGATTAGTACTTTGATCTCTGTTTTTTTGGATTTTCTTTCTTTCTCTTTTTTTTTTAATTTATTTTTTTAGTTTGATTGTTGATTGTTTGAGAGAGAGAGAGAGAGATGGAAATGAAGTTTGAATCATATGCATTGTTGTTTTCTATCTCAGATTTATTTTGCTCTTCCTGGCGTCACCCATTGTTTTTTCTCGGAGCCAAAAAAAAAAAAAAAGATCTGAAACAAAAAAAAATAAAATTTTGTGTTGTGCTTTTTTCTTAGTTCTTTTTTAATATTAATTAGATTGACCCACTTTTCTCTCTCTCTGTCTCTCTGTCTATCAAATAGGGGTTAAGGAAAAATGAATTTCATATTAAGAATCATTTTTATTTTATCTTAGTCAAATGGGTTGAGACTCTCTTTAATTATCCATGGTCATATTTTGTTATTTTTTAATTTCTTGTTTGATTTCTAATTATGTTTTGATCTCTGTTTTTTGTCTTGCAAATTGCTATTTCTTAGTGCTCTGGTTAGTACTTTAATCTCAGTTTTTTTGGATTTTCTTTCTCTCTCTCTCTCTCTTT